GGGATGGGATGAAATTATTTTCTATGAGGGAAAGGCAATGAACCTGGTACACCTGTGCCAAGGTTAGGGCTGACTTTCTTTTTCTTTTCTTTCCTGAAAAGAGTAATTCTTTGCTCCAGTCTGAGCCTATGGCTCCCCGAGAAATCAGGTGGAGGGGATCTGCTCCCAGACCCTGCAGAACAGGGGGGCTGTAGGCACAGTTGGAAGGCTGCCTCGTGGGACCGCTGAGACATGCCCATTCATGCCGTGTTCAGAGCTGACCTGACCAGCCCTCATCCAAACCACGTATTTCCCTGAGCACTGGTGGCTGAGGTGGGTTTAGCGGAGAGGAGATGCTCTCTTTGCCTGAGTTCACCTGATTTGCTCTCCCACTGCCCTGAGCCACCAGCAACATAAGGCTGGGGAGATCATTCAAAGGGCTAGACAGAACGCATGATTAGCATGTCCTAAAACCCAGGTTTGGGCTTTGGCCATCAGTCATGGCCCTCTGAGCATCACTGGGTGTTGTCCTGGTGGTCCCGGGCACTGCCAGCCCACCCGTCACAGCATTCTCAGGCTTCAGCACAGAACCATCCGCCAGCAGAGTCTGGAAGAGTTAACAGGGGCAGTCACCCCTGGGCCCACTGAGCACTGCTTGAGAGACCTCCTCCCCAATGAAAAATAAAAATAAAGGGGCCATAGAGAGATAGTTCGATATGCCAGACACAGTAACAACAAAGTCTCCAATGGAGACGTTACTGGGCCCGCTCGAGCAAATCGACGATCAACGGGAGGGCCTTTACCTTTACCTTTACCTTTACCTTATAGAGAGATAGTATACTGGGTGGAACATTTGGCCTGCACATGCCCAATCTGGGTTCAGTCCCCGGCATCCCATATGGTTCTCTAAGTACCACCAGGAGTAATTCCTGAGCACAGAGTCTGGAGTAACCCCTGAGCACTGCCACGTGTAGCCCCAAACAAAAATAAATAAACAAAATAAAGCCGTCATCTGAAAGAGCAACAGTTTTAAGGCAGAAAAGACAAAAAGGGCAACAATTATCCTTTCTTTTTATATCTCCCAAGAGCCAACCTCCTCTGCTTTCATAGTTTGAAATGAGGAGCTGTGCATCTGTTCTCCAAGTCAATACTTACGCCTTGAGCACTCTCCTCTGTTCCATGCTTACTTCCAGATGCCTTCTGGAATATTCACTGGGGTATTTTAGAAACCTATAAAAATAAACATGCCCCAAATTAAAATAATTATGCTAATGCTCAACCTCTCCTTTGCCTTCTAAATGTCTTGCTAAAATATTCTCTTTCCCTACTTCTTTTATTAATCACATATCACCCATTCAGCTTCGTGTTTAAAATGTTTGTCTTTTCCCATCCCCTCTGCCACATTTATCAGGGTCTCCTTAGCTCATTTATTTTGAGAATTACAAAGTATCTAAGAAACTACATTCTTTGTTTATGGAGTTTATATCTAATTAAACACTTTTAAGCTTTTTTTGTTTTTGTTTTTGTTTTTGCTTTTTGGGTCACACCCGGTGATGCTCAGGGGTTACTCCTGACTCTGCACTCAGGAATTACTCTTGGCGGTGTTCAGGAGACCATATGGGATGCTGGGGATCAAACCCAGGTTGACCACGTGCAAAGCAAACTCCTTACTAGTTGTACCACTGCTCCAGCCCCCATAGTTTAAGTTCTAATAAGAGAAAACGGTGTTATAAAATATTAAAACCATTACCTTAGAGCCTAAATTCCATAAGATGGGTTGGGGTGTACCTGAGAAAACAACTCCAGTGCTCCCCCCAATAATTGTGCTTGGAATTTTGTAACAATTTCTTATGCTTCTGTACTAATTTCTATTCATTATATTGACTGTGCCATTTTTAAACTTTCTTGTATTTTCTGTAGCAAGAAGCGATCAAATTTATTTCTTCTTAACATTTTGTAATTGTCAATGTGCTGCCATTTAAATTAAGTCAAATGTAAAATGTTAATTGTAAAATCCTTATGGTGTTGCAATATGGATTTTATTCATATAATTTTCTCCATGATGTTTGAAAATTTTTATGATGAAAGGAAGAGACACACACACAGAGAGAGAGAGAGAGAGAATTGGGTCTGGTCCGGTTATGGTACCACATACTCTGAAACCATCCTTTTTATAACTTTTCATAACAAATTTCAAAAACCTTAATTCAATTTGCGGATCCCTGAATGATTTGTCTCAGAACCTCTTCTGAACACACACTTAAATCCCGTCTCCTGCTCAAATCACAAAGCCTTGCTCTGCTTCCTCGTTTGAATTAGGTTATGTGTCTTGTTTATATACTCCTCCAAGTAGCACTGTAGCACTGTCCTCCTGTTGTTCATCCATTTGCTCGAGCGGGCACCAGTAACATCTCACAACAAATTGTGAGACTTGTTGTTACTGTTTTTGGCATATCGAATATGTCACGGGTAGCTTCCCAGGCTTTGCTGTGTGGGTGAGATACTCTCGGTAGCTTGCCGGGCTCTCCGAGAGGGGCGGAGGAATTGAACCTGGGTTGACTGCGTGTAAGGCAAATTCCCTACTTGTAAGAGCGATAGCAAGTATCGCTCTTACAAGTATCAGGCATTAATAATAATAATAATTAAACAACAATAATATTAATACTAAAATTAATTTCTATGATTTTGGCTTTATGTCTTTTTTTCCTACTAGACTGTAAGTTCCTTGAAAATAGGGCTTATACTTATTTCGTCCACTGCTTTATGCCTAGTATCAGTGCCTGGCATATATATTATAAGCCTTTAATAATACTTAATGATGAACTAAAGGAAGTGTTATTTAGAGTTGATTGGATAAACACAAGAGGGACTTTAAACAGAAGATTATTTAGTTGATATCAAAAAGTGTTATTCTGGCAAAGGCCTGGAGATCAGATTGGAGGCCTTATATGTGATTTGTGTCTTTATCCCCAGAACCTAGCACAGGGCTAGTCTGTTGACTCCATAGCCATACAGGATATGGTTTCTATACTGTAAGCATAAGTCAATAAAGACTGAACTTCCATGCCAACAGCAATAATGAATAACCAGTGAGAGGATAGACCTGACTGGTGGAACTGTGTGGATAAAGGAAAAGAGTGAAAATGTATCATAAAGATCCGGAGAGATAAAATAGAGGGTAAGACACATTGTACACAGTTGTCCGGGTTCTATCCCCAGCTCCAAATATGGTCAACCGATCACCACCAGGAGTGATATCGGAATGCAGAGCACGAGGAAGCCCTGACTACTGTTGGAGTGGCCTTCTCTTCCCTTCTCCTGGAACAAAAAATGATCATAGAAACTTTGCATCTTGGGCCAAGGAGATAAGCAAAACAAAAAATTTGCATCTTGGTGGGGCAGATATATGTGTGGGAGGAAATCAAGTGCTCTCTTGGAGGTGTTGTCTCTCCAGCCTGGCAAATAAAAATTTTTCTTGCAAAACACCGAGGAATGAGAGAGCTAGTACAGGGACATGCAGTCAATCCCAGCGCAACCAGGTTAACAGAGCCGCCCAGATAATTCCTAGCAGGGCAAGGAATTGCCTGAGGACATGGCAACAGTGACAACAAAGGGAAGGGGTGGAGAAGCCAAAGGACTTCTTGATAGTCTCTGGATGTGATTCCATACACTCTGGGCCTCAGTGTTAGTAATCTCTTCTACAAGGGCTTAATGGCTCCTGGGTGAGATATAACAATCTTCGCACACTTTCTCCTAAGGAAATGTTTTTTGATCATTTTTAGCTGACTATTCATAACAAGCAGTGTAAAATAAATTATTTTAGGGTCTGCTTGGGTGGTGGTGGGGAAAGTTCGAAATCATGGTAGTGAGAAGGTGTAATGGTGGTAAGACTGGTGTTGGAATATCGAATGCCATAAAATATCGTGAACTTTATAAAAATCAATTTTTTAAAAAAGCGAAAGTACGGAGACAAAGTGGGTTTGAAATTGCTTATAGCTACAGAGGCCAGCCAATAAGTTTGAGAGATATGACTATTAAAAGAATATTAAAGATGACTTTTAGTGTGCTGGGGAGAGACCTATCGCATTGCAAGCTGCTCATCCCCGTCTGATCTCTGGCACTCCAAAGGGTCCTGCCGCATCACCAGGAGTGATCCCTGACCTAGATCCAGGAGTAAGCCATGAGCACTGCTGGGTGTGGCCCCCAAACCAAAGCACCCACAAGAAACAAACAAAAACATGAGTTTTGTTTTTTTGCGGGGGGAAGAGGGGGTGTGTGAGGGGATGTGAGGAAGCTGATGTAAAATTCTTTGTGACGGTGGCTGCACCGCTTCTGCATAACCCTAAAACCCATTTGGATGGTACGTTATAAACGCCAATGTAGCATGGGTAGTTTTATCTCCACAAGCCTGTGAAAACTAACCGGGAAACCAAAGCACCTCCCCAACCAGGTTGTCGGTCTTGCCTCACTTATTTGAACTGGGGATGGGGGCGCCTCCCTAGCAGCGGGCCACTCCACGTGATACCCCGGCGGCTCCGGGGAATGAAATAAGGATGTATTTAACCAGGAAAAGATTTGAAACACGTTAAATAAATGCAAACTAAGGTTGCGATGTAAGGCAGAGAGCCCAGTCCACCCAAAATTTAAAAAAAAGAAAAAAAATAGGTGCACACGCAAAAATACAGAAAGACAAAGCAGAATCAGGGTGTGAAGGGTGCAAGAACGGGGAGGCATCTCCGCTCCTGCCCCACCGCTTCTCGCGCGACCATTTCCCCGGAAAGTTCTCGAAGGGCCCCTGACCTCGGCGCACTCCGCGGCGCCCGCCAGCGAGGCCCCTTTTTCCCGCCGCGCCGCCAGCCCGCGGGGGCGGGAAGGGGCGGGGCTGACGTCACGTCCGGGCCGGGCCGGGCCGCGCGGTGGGGCTGGGCGGGGCCGCGAAAGCGCGCGCTCGGGCGGGGGCGGGGCCGCGTCCAGGGGCGTCGCGTCACATCCGGGAGGCTTAGAGCCCGGGCGGAGCTGGTGCGGAGCGCTTCGGCTCTCGGCGGCTGGGCGAAGCGCTTCGGTCCTGCGCGGCAGCAAGACGGCGCCGGGGGGTCGGCAGCGCTGGTGGGAGCCCATCGGACGGCAGCGGCGGCGGCGGGGCGTCATGAGCGACAGCGGCGAGCAGAACTACGGCGAGCGGGTACGTCGCGGTGCAGCCGGGGGCGGCTGGCGCGGGGGCCCCGGACTCGTCGCCTCAGACCGCGGGACGGTTGGCGGCGGCGGCGGCTCCGGGCCGAGGCCGTGCAGCCAAGGTGGCGGGCGTCCGCGTCGCCGCGGGGGCCCCGAGAGCCGAGGCGGCGGTTTTTTTTCCGTTGGCGGGGGGTCGGGGGGCGGCAGGTTAAAAATGGCCGCGGCGTCCCCTCAGCGTGGGGGGAGGGGAGCGGCCGCCGTTGCTCGCCGGCGAGGCGGCGCCGCCGCCGCCGCCATCTTGGGCGGGCGGGCGGGCCGGGCGCGCTGCCAGAGGCACAAAATGGCGGCGGTGGCGGCGCCGCGGGGCGGGGGGTGCGGAGGCCGAGGGGCGTTTCCGGCTGCGGGGTGGGGGGGGGCGGCGAGCGCGGGCTTTTGTGTCGGGCTCGAAGGACCTTCTGGACGGGGGCCGCTGAGAGATTGGCCGGCGGCGCTCGTATTTTTCCCCCCCGGTGGCGCCGGTCTCTTGCCCGGGTGTGGGAGCGGGATTCTCCGGGGGGCCCAGCCGGGGTCGGGGGCGGCTTTCCCCTGCGGGGAGACGCGCTTCCTCGGCTGGCATCCGTGCCGCTGGGCAGCCGAAGCCGACCGACCGGAGAGCTCGGCGGGTCTCCCCCGCGGGTGCACGTCAGCGTGTGCGTGCGCATGCGCGCGCGCGCCTTTTCGAAGACGCGCGCGCACGTTTCACTCCCTCCCCCCCTCCCCCGAAATTCGTGAACGGGCGAGACTGTCGTTCCTCGCGCTTCCTCGGTCGGGGAGCCGGCTTGGCTTTGTTGTGGCTGGGGGGGTGGGGACGGGACACACACGACACCGAGTGGGTGTGCTGGGTGTCGGACCTGGGGCCAGGCTGCGCTTGCCGCTCGGGTCCCCGAGTTGGCAAGTTCTTATAAAAGCAGCGGTTTCGGGTTCCGGCCGGCCGGTGAGGGCGGGTCGTGGGAAAGAGGGGCGAGTTGAGGTTCTGGGGTCCTGTTGTTGCGCTTCTTCGTGAAGACGAAGCGACTGTTGGCTAAAGGAGTCAGGGCCTGAACGAGCGGCTTCAAAGAGTCGGTGCGGTCGATCCGTCCTGGGCTCGACTGCGGACGGGACTCCCGGCCCGTGCGCGCAGCGAAGGCGTCTTCGGGGGCAGCCGCACCTCCGGCCCCTGAGGAGGTCTAGATCTCGATCTATCTCGCTTTCGGAAGGAAACCACCGGAGGAAGCCTGGGCCTAGAACCCGTCGGGCGGTTAGAAATGATCGAATTGGTCGTGTTTTCTTCACGACGGGCTCTCTAGAGGACCCTGGCGTTCGCACCAGTTGCATTCCACGAGACGCCTTGTGGAACAGCATCCCGACTACGGGGCCGGGGGAAGTGAATGTCCCATATTGCTGCTCAGGAAAGAGGAAGTGGTCCTGGCTTCTGGGGATACTTTTGAGCTCTTGCGGCGCTAACTGCCAGAGTGAATCAAGGATTGCGTTCCCCGTTTGGCTGAATGGGGTGTGGACGGATGGTGTCATTAGAGCCAGAAAAGATCATCTTTACGATGCTCCGGGCTCTTGAATCGGTTTTAGTTCAGCTGGATTCTGTCACCTTTAGCTCACGCCCATCTTCCCTCCGTTAGCTAGGAAGGGTAACTTTTTTTTTAAATAAGAGTGTTAAGGTGTGTGGAATGAATTATCCAGTTTGGTGGCTCTGACTGAATCTAGTAGAGCTGCGACTTGAGGTGGGCTGGGTTCTTGGGTTTCTGCGCGTACTGTCTTTTTCTTCTGGAGGCATTCTTCAGTTGAAATGTCTAAGTGTCTGCGATCAGGAAACTATTGATCAGGACAAACTTTCAAAAATGCAGAATCGTTCATCTCTTCAAATTCTTGGTGCTCTTTTTTTTGTGAAGGGGTGCCTTTGCAACCACAATCGACCCAAAAAAGCGCACCACATTGTCACAAGACTTGTAAAAGAACTTGCAAGTTTAGGAAGATGTGGTAAAATTGGAGGCAATCTGCAAGCCCAGTAACGGGCACAATACTTAGAATGGGAAGGGGGGGGGGTTGTGTGAGAAGCAAGATTTAGAGATGAGAGAGGAAAGAGAAATGCGTGTTCAGGAGTAAACATGGATTTTTCCATAGTGAAAAGCCAGCTCCGTTCTTCTTGATGCTGCGCTAGTTTAATTTCTAACTTCTTAACAGTTGTGATTTTTTTTTTACGACTCATACGGATGAATCTTTGAAAATCTAATAAATTGAAGAATGATTTCTGTTTAGTTATGATAGCAAGCAGTTTAATAAAATACTTAAGGGGTAGTGGCTGTTAATGTAGGTACTTTATCTTTAGTCTTATTCTCTATAAAATATTACCCAGAATACCATCCTGTCAGCCCTTTCCGGTTTTGCGGTCTTTCTCCTCTTCTGCTTAATCTTGGTTTTCTTTTATAGTCTGTTTTTAACTTCTGAAGCCTTAATTTTAAAGACTTAAAAAATCTGATCTGTTTCTAAGAAAACCGCCTTTGTTTGCTCTTTCTTTAATATATTAGAGGTGGAATTGATGGCAAATAGGAAAAGAGTTTGCACTGTTTTTGTTTGGGTGATTAGGTTAAAGTCTCAACCAAGCAAAGAATATTTTTTGATTTTTTTTTTAACTAAATGCTTTGATTTTGTGAATATTGTCTGGAAATTGAAGTTTTCAAACTGAAATTGCAAGTGGTTACAAGGTAAGTACTACTGGGTTTGTCAAAGACTGAAGAGGAATTCGGGTGATGAGACTTGTTAAATGGGATTTGCCTTTGTACAGCCTTCCAACCCCCCATATTTTCTCACGTATGATGAATAATAACATTTTCATAGCTCTCATTTTGCCCAAGAGAAGTATGTGTGTACTTGTACCTTTTGAGTCTTGCCATTGTGTGTTGATAGTTTTATGTATAATTGTAATGTAACCGGAATGGTGATGTTTAGGACTTTATAAAGTGTTTTGTCCAGTTTAGTTTTTGTGGGTGTGGGTCACAGTTGAATTAGATACTGTTGACACTTTGTTTTCATATTTTAAGCTGAGAGTCCCCCAAAGCGCTCTCCCATAGTAAGTGGTCTCCAGATTTCCCCAAAAGCCTGCTTTGAAAGGGGTTTTAGAAATTACTTGGATTTTTTTTGTCTATATAACAGCATGGATGAGGTTTCATTTTAGCATTGATGTTTATGTAGAAGTTCTGAAAAATAAACTGTATGACTTGCTTTTCTGGAAAGTATTGGATATTTTATGAATGTATATGCGTCTACAGGTTTTTGTGTTTTTCTTTTTGGCAAGAAGTTCTTAAAATCATGAGCCTACAATCACTTAGTTACCAGATAGTATTTTTCAGAGGATATTTTCAGTGAGGATTTTTCTTTCTATCCTGCAATCTTCTAATCTTGGCTGCAGAAAAAATAGACATAGTTTTTAAATTGATGAGCATTGATTATCTCCCCCCTCCTCCCATACAGCAAGATCAGCCAACCAATTTTTCTTTGCCCTTCAGTGTATTTTTTAAATTCCTTTGTCCATGGCCTTGCATGTATTTAACAAGACATGAACTCCAATTGTAGACTCTAGAGTCATTTTATCAAAAATGGTATTGATGATGGGAGATTTCTGCTTGAGTATTAAAGATTCTCTTAAGCAAGAGTGTGGTAACAGCCCTGTAGTTGGTCTTTGGTTTTATTGTGGCCATTTTTCAGCGGAGTTGAAATAAAACGAATAATTTACATTATATAGTAATGTATTCAGTGGATGTAAAAGATGAAAGGGTAATGAAATTAAGGAAGGCATCTGTCCTAAAAGTTGTGATACCTAGAACTTTGGCCTCTGTTCCAGTATCTTTTGCATCTGAGTTCTGTTATCTGTATAGATTTGAGGCCTTATGAGGAAACCTGCTTGGGCATTCTGATTCCACGATTACATTTGCTGCCAGCAAACATCCATTACATTTTTGTGATGGGTTTTAAGAGAAAACCAATTAGCTTTGACTCCCTTAAATAAAAGGCTATTAAAATTCTTTCCCTGGATCAAACTGTAATTTAACCTTGGAAAACTAGACACAATTATGCTTCCCTTTTTAGAAAAGACAATCTTTCCCATCTTAGCCACTTTTCTCTTTATGCGCAGAGAAAGAAAAAGCAATTTTTCGCCCCAGAGAAAACAAAAACTGGGGGTGGGGCAGGGAATTGACAGAAAAGGTCTTAGGCTGAATGCAGGAAAACGAGGTTTTTTTTTAGTAACAGGCAGTGCTTTGTTTTTGTTCATTGGGTAAACCAAAAAGTTTTTTTCATGACACCAGGAGGTGGGCTATGATTTTCTAATGTCTTCACCTTTATAAGTAGTGCTTTTCTTTTTTTGTTGAGCAGCAGTTTTTAATTTTCCATTCTTTGAGGGTGGTGGGAGTTTACTCCCAAAAAGTATTTGAAAATAGCACTGTTGGGTTTGTTTTGTTTTCCTGCATAGCTTATTGAATACAGTAGTAGTTGGTTGTCTAGATATTTTACCCCTATTTCAGTTGAAAATTAACGATTGGACCATTCATTAATTTGGGGGGAGGGCAACACTTACTTCTGGCAGTGCTTACTGCTTCCTCCTGGCTCTACGCCCAGGGGTCACTCCTTGGTGGGCTTGGGATCATGTGGGGTGCTGGGGATCTGTCCCTGCTCTGCCAAGTATAAAGCAAGTGCCCCGCCCACTTAGTATCACTCCTGCCCCCGTTCATGTATTAAAATCTCACTAGATTGAAATCAGCTTTCCTAGGTGTGGGTTGAACACTGTAGACCGACCATATTTTCAAATTTCCTGATGTCTTTCTACAGAGCTTTAAAATATGCAGTACAGAAATGTATGGCAATGATTTTTTTTACTTTAGACAAGTCACAGTTTGTAAGCCCATTCAACCCTGAGCCTTGTCATTGTGCAAATGAATTGTCCGTGCTTTCCTTTCTTGCACTTTCGTATTGTGTCACTTTTTTTAATTAGAAATGTGTTTTTGACACTTATATTCTCTACTGACATACAGTAAGAAGTGTGAATGTAATTATAAATTTCTTAAAATGTTAGATGAACAGTAAATGTTCAGTTGCGCACTTCAACTTAAGCATGATAAGCCTATTTGAAGTAGACAATTGATATTATCATATTTTAGGAAAAAACCAAGAAACTGTAGTTTCAGTTTTTTGAGCTGCCTATTTTAGCCTTTTAAACCCCAAAACAAAAGGGATTTTTTTTTTCTAATTTCAGTTTTGGCACTGGATTTTATCCTGGAGTTTTAAAATATTCTTCATCCTGTTCTTTTTCTATTAAGGTTAATGTTGAAGAAGGAAAATGCGGAAGTCGTCATTTGACAAGTTTTATAAATGAGTATTTGAAGCTCAGGAATAAGTGAAGCTGAAATTTGAAAATATAAAAGAAAGAATGCATGCTAATTATCAGACCAGAAGTCCCACTTGTAGAATATTGAGCAATTTGTGTGAAGTGGGGAAGATGAAAGAAGTCAGAATTTGAAACGGAAGAATGAAGAAAAGAAATAAAAATGAAGTTAAGATAAGAAGTAATCTGGAATCAGAAAGCACTACGCTAAGTAATTACTAGTCTGTTTATGTGTCCCTGTATATTTTGCTAAACATGCATGCATTATTTGTTTAATAGAAGAAAATATATACAGGGTTAAGAAGTGCCTTCCAGGGGAAACGTATAATAATTAGGTAATTCTGATTTTAACTTCTTAGTCAAATGATTGAAATGCATTTAAAAAAACTAAAAAGGAAAAGCCATTATAGTTACATACCAGGCAGGAATGATGAGGTCTCCAACATGGGTTGGCTTCGAATTATCCCTTCTAGTTTTTGTTACACTGCTAGTCTTAGAGCGCGAGTGAGTGAGTACCTTTGGAATTGGAATTGGTGGTCTGTGCCACCTTGGACTTAGGCTAAACTCGACACTTCTTTCAGTACTGAGCAGAACAATAATTGAATATAGACATGTAAAAGTTTTACTGAAGAATGGCACTGGAATGGTTTAGAACCAGCTCTCAAATCCAATTTTGATTGCATTGGGCAGATTACTTTGTATAGGCCTTTGTGAACCCATTGTTTTTCCAGATGGCATTAGTGGAAAGCTATGACCACTTGGGCCCTACTTTTAAAGTGCATGTGTGCTTCAAGTTCATAAAGGGTGATTACTTAGCTATTTGCCTGCTCTATATGAATGCCTTGCAGTTACTGCTTATGCATACAGGGGCTTCTTCCTTTAGAACAAGTGGGTCACGGGATATCTAACTTGGCAGAAGGAGCAGATGGCAAATTCGGAAATAAGCTTTCATACTCTCTATTTTCTATCAGTGCTTAGCCGTTAATAATGATAAGGTTAAGTAGGTTTACTTTGGGTTCCCCACTCCCACAACTTTATTGGAAAAATCTTATCTATATTTTGTTTCCTCCTAGCTTAATGGAAGTCAGGTGATGTATTAACCTTTCTGTTGAATGGGACAAGTACACGAAGGAAAATAATCCTGAGCAGCAATCAGTAGTTGATTTCTACCCTGTTGGCAAAGCCAAGGACATAATTTTGACCTAAATGAAAACCTACAAAACTTTGTTAGAGCTTAATGCTCTTTTAAAAAGCGACATAACTGACATCCTTGGAAGTTGCATTTTCTGAAGATTTAGGGGCCTGCCTGTTAACTTTGAAATTAGTGCTTTATTTTACAAACAGAAATTTCAAATTGGTTTTGCTCTAGTTGTGCTTTGTAAAACCTCTTGCCATACATAAAGTGAATGCTAATTTTGTGAATTAACTATAGGGAGAGGGCTGAGGTGAAAGTGATAGGAATTGGTATTTCAAGCCCATGCACTCTAAATTGAGAGTTCTGTAAGATCTTTGAAATCTTAACCCACAGGGAAAGCAGTTGGGAGTTTTCTGTGGCCCCAGCTGTGTAATATAGAGCAAAATAATGTCATTTAATTGCCTGCCCTGCATCTTTGAATTTGGAGTCTTTATACGATTGGAAGAGGTAAGAGGGAAATAAGACCCTCACTCTGGCCCTGGGAGGGTTAATACCAATAGTGACAAGTAAAAGGATGTCAGAAATAAGGTTCCAGAATGATGCATTTGAGCGAAAGTACCTACTTTTTTGAGTGAGAAAATGAGTGGGTATGCATTTCTCAGTATAGTGGGGAGCAGATTGAGAGGTGTTTGTTGGTTTGGGGGGGGTGTTTCGTTTTTTGGAAGGCTTTGAGGTGTTCCGGTTTTTGAGGGGGATTTGATTCTCCCTGATAATTTCCCCTATAGATTGTATATTCATATATGGCCTAAAAGTCCATCTATTAAACTCAGCCCTGAGTTTTTCATGAAATGTATTTTGTTCATGATCTTCTTTTTTGATACTTTGATGTCTAGGTTAGATGGGGTTTTAATATGTTGGCATTTGTTTTGGTCAGGTCTGGATGAGCTTAGACTTGGCGTAGGAATTTAACCAGCTGGCTTTCATAGAACTGACATTTTAAGACTCTTATCTTACAGGCAGGCTAAATTTTCTTGTGTTTCTTAAACGGGTAATGGCCAACATAAAGACATTCAGCTCCCTTTTGTAGTTAAGAATATTCCTGACAAAGGTAGGAGGTTTCTTTTAGCCAGGCTGTCAGTATGGAAGGGGTATCTTGGCATTCTGATGTTTCTCCTACTCTAAGAATAGTTGCTTACAAGATTATCTGCATAGTTTCATTTTGAGGTTGAGTGCAGTCTTCTGATAATTTCAGATACTGTGGCTTTGGTCCTTGATCTGGGGGCCAGTCTTAGAGAAAAGACTTTTATATTAGACTGCTAGATACAACTACTTCATTGGCTATCTTTTGTCTTGTGAAGCATGTTATATTCCGCTCTTCCAGAGCAGATAGTCTCCTCAGGTTTCCATTGAAAGCAAAAATAATCCCCTGAAGTAATTCATCATAGAATGGCAAAAGGACTTAAGCACCTTTTTTGTGTTCCCCTTGAGAGTAGTTTTGCCTGTGAAAAGATGGCCAAGGAAAGGGGATTAATTGTCCTAATTTTAAATGTTAATATTTGTTAAAAAGCAGGAAAAAAGTCAAAGGAGTTGCCAGAGCCACAGTATCTTTTCGACCATTTCCTTTGACTCTTTACTAATCTGGGAATGGGAGGCGCTCATTTCAAATCACTTCACACCTTGTTAATGACTTTGGAAAGTTACTGAGAAAATTTTAAAGTTGTTTGGGATATGTAGACTTGAACTCCTTTTTTTCAATCTCGACCCTGTTCTAAGAGTTTTTATTCCCCTCTTTCATTTCAAAATCCCCCCCCCATCTCTCAAAGTTCTATATGCTGTAAATTAAAACATTGGAGTCTTTTTTGAACTTGTAATTTTATGAATTGCCAGAGTGTTGTGGGGCTTTACCAGAGAGGTGGAGAGGTATTTGTGAGACTACTAACAGCTTCAGCTTTATATCCTGTATTTTTATTGTGAAGTTTGGCCATTTCTCCTTTTCGGTGGTAGTGAGTCACTAGGTTTTTTCTTTTTTAATTTAATTTGTGTAAGCTGGATAGTTTGAAATAAAGGTTTATTGGTTAGCTATCAGATTCCGGTGCATTCTGTTTGTTTTGGTGTTTCGCTTTAACTTAACCTCTGGTTTCATTACTTACATGTTTGTATGCTGAGCGGTTGATTGTGCCTCTCTGGCTCGCTGATGACCAAGGTGTCCCGTTTGCCATCCTTTTTGCTTGTTTCTTTAGAGAGCTGTTTTGGGGTATTACCAGCTTATCCCATTTTTGTGAAAGCTGTGTATGTGTAATAAGACCTGTACTTGGACTTTGATTTTTTTGCAGTTTGAGTTTAATTCCCTTTCTGGGCCCAGATAAGAAGACACTGATTAAATCTGTTGCAATTTTCTTAAATTTTTATATAATGTTCTTAGTTCATTCACACCCAGTCTTTATCACTTTGCCCTGATTTAGCTCTGTATGGCAGAGCAAGTAAGTAGTCCATCTCTGGCACCCTCACATACTCAACATACATGCTGTAGCTCTGTTGGAGAATCTCAACTCTTTGCAGTTAGGCGGAACAGGGTATAGTATCCTTTTAAGCTGGTCCTTGCTTTCCACTAGGTTTCTACATCCACTATCATCTTGTCTTTTCTTATGCAACAATAAAGGCTAAGATCTTATGAAAATAAACATTTAACTTTTAATATGTTATTTTATTTCATAGGATCTTTGATTGCAGCTTGATGAAAATAAGTATAAGATATAGCTATAGTTAATAAGGTTCTTTTTTAACCTAGTCTTACGGAGTAATGATCCCCACAATCCTTGAGCAGTTTCTCTAACTGCTTGACTTTGGTGACCTTTTCTGAAGTGAATGGGGTCAATTAACTCTTAACCCTGCTCAACCCTGCTCCCCAAGATGGGAGTTCAAGTTAATTGACCTGTTTCAACTGAGCGAGAAACAATACCAGGTATATTCAGTTCTTGCCAGAACCTATGTTTTCTTATCTTGGAAGGGGATTACTTGCCCTCACCATTTATCTCACAGCAGCATAATTGTTTTTAAAGTTGCCCAGAAAATATACAAATTAAACTTTTGACATCTACGTATAGGAATCCCGTTCTGCTTCCAGAAGTGGAAGTGCTCATGGATCTGGGAAATCTGCAAGGCATACCCCTGCAAGGTCTCGCTCCAAGGAAGATTCCAGGCGTTCCAGATCAAAGTCCAGGTCCAGATCTGAATCTAGGTAAGAAAGACGGGAGTTTTTTGTTACTTCTTGGCTCTGAAATTGGAGTGTGCTTTGTACACTAGGAAGATAGAGAGGATTGGATAGATTATTTGTTGGACTGTTAACAGATAACAGTTGGTACTAGAAATAAACTGTTGTTTCTGGGAGACTTAAAACTAAGAGAAGAGTCGGCCTGGGCTTGGAGTTAGGGGTTAAACTTGCCTCTGCTTGTCCTGGCTTGTCACTTTTTTTTTTCTTTTTAACCTTGGGTTTACTTTCCGTATAAAAGGCAAGTTAATTATAAATAAGTTCTTCAGAATTGTTGTGAGGCTTCACTTCATAGTGCTTCTAAGTCCAGCAAATACACTGCAGAATATGACTTTTGGTAACTGCAATTCTTGATAAATATGTATAGTCTACTATTATGTATGTGTTCAGCAAAAATGCTGTAGTATACTTTGTTGGTTGACAGTAGGTAGGCAATGTATAACCTAGTTGCCCAGGACGGCCTCAGTTTATGCCTGTTGTCTGGCATGATTATAGAGCTACCCCTTTTTCTCTCTTTAAAGTGGCCCTGGTTTAGATAGCAGTTCATAACTCTAGAAGAATTGGTTGATTTTTCTGTTTTTGGGCCACACCCAGCAGTGCTCAGGGCTTACTCCTGACTTTGCACGCAGGGGTCACTCCTAGTAGGGCTCAGGTAACCATATGTGGTGCTAGGGATCAAGCCCAGGTCTGCATGCAGGACAATCATCCTGCCTGCTGTAAGACTATCTCCAATCCTCTGAATTAAGGTGTTTTTTTTTTTTTTAACTGCTAACAAAACCTATTGTGGTGACTTCTTAAAATTTAAGTAAAGGAGGATGCAGAATGAATGGGTAGTGGAATTGTTTACAGTTTTGAAAAGATGAGTGTTGATTTTACTTTTTTAAGACATGTCAGAGAAGATACTAATTGGATCTTAAGTTCTAGCATAATTGAAGTGATAATTAAAGATCACACTAACATGTTTCTTGTGTTCTTTTAGAGAACTTAACTCTAGCATGAAGGAAATGAAAGCCATATTTTATTGATGGCTTGATCATGACCCCAGAACGGTTGTTTTGCAGGTCTAGGTCCAGAAGAAGTTCTCGAAGGCATTACACAAGATCAAGATCTCGGTCCCGTTCCCATAGACGATCTCGTAGCAGGTCATATAGTCGAGATTATCGAAGAAGGCACAGCCACAGTCACTCTCCCATGTCTACTCGCAGGCGGCATGTTGGCAATCGGGTAAGGTGGAAAACCAGTTTTGTTTATAGTGGACCATAAGGCACTTTCTAAAACAAATTTTTTTCCCCTTTAATTGGGACTGATTTTATTTGACATTGTAATTATGGCATTTGAATAAATAATTTACCATTAGTCTTTAGAAGGATATCACAAGTAATAGTATATATTTGGGCTATTAGTCACATTTTGTTTCAAAATACAGTGTCCTCCCATTTGATTTGAGTTTGAGCTCTACCATCAATTCATATGCAAAGGTTTTGAAACTTCTCTGGCAGAAGAAATAACCAAATAGGAATTAATACTTAGATATGGGAGGGGTGCATATTTGGATGTTTTCTCTCTTCCCATAAGAGATATCAGACGGCTGGATTTTAGTTTTCATGTGTGTAAGGAAATTTATCATAGTGTTAAATTCATTGTGGCTACTAGAAATTTGGCCAAATGTTGATACTATGGCATTTGCTGTCTTAATAAAAAATAGAATGAAACTTGAGTGTTCTTCAAACTTTTGACAGCTTAGAGTATTTTGCTGAATGGATAGTGGTATTTAACCTGTATGATTGCTTTACGTGTGGATGTTTCAGAATGAATACCTTAGGTGAACTATATTCTAGGAAAATTCCAGTATGCTTTCTAACTACTTATGTACCCATTTTCCTGCATCTGAAGTTTACTGCCTTTTGCAGTCTTTACAACAATGCTGCCCCCTCTTCCTTAGTGATTCCTTGATAAAGTTGTGTTTCCTTTTTGAGCTTTTTAAGTTTAGAATCTGTTTTTCTATATTTAGGCAAATCCTGATCCTAACTGCTGTCTCGGAGTATTTGGATTGAGCTTATACACTACAGAGCGAGATCTAAGAGAAGTGTTCTCCAAATATGGCCCCATTGCTGATGTGTCAATTGTGTATGACCAGCAATCTAGACGTTCCAGAGGATTTGCCTTTGTGTATTTTGAGAATGTAGATGATGCTAAAGAAGTAAGTAAATGTCTTACTGATACAAAATACTACTTAAAAATGCTTTAATAAGTACAAATTTTGCTCAAGTGTAACATAACAAGGATGTGCTTCTTGAACTTATAAGAAAATTTTTTTATGAAACAATGCTTAAGTATTTGTAGAACTGGAAGCATTAACATTTTCTGGTGAAAACACTTAAACATATGCAGAGTAATAGGAAATTGACTAGGTCAGTTGATCTAGCAATTTGCTTCACTGCTTACCAATTGTAGACTGTAGTACCCCGACTCAGTTCCCACTACCACATTGTACAGTAGCACTGTCCTCCTGTTCATTGATTTTCTCGAGTGGGCACCAGTAATGTCTCCATTGTGAGACTTGTCACTGTGTTTGGCATATCGAATGTGTCACGGGTAGCTTGCTGGGCTCTCCCGAGAGGCGCCAAGGAATCAAATCGGGTCATCCACATGCAAGGCAAAAGCCCTACCCGCTGTGCTATTGCTCCAGCCCACTACCACATTATTTGAGGGAAACATTAACATTATTTTATACATAGTTGCACCATTTAATTTTATCTTTTTTGTGGGGAAGTCACACCCACTGTGCTATCTCTCCAGTCCCTAGTATTATCTTAAGTATGGATGTTAATTATTTTTCAGAATATAAAGTTTTCACATTGAGTTGAACTTTTATTTTGTTTCGTTTGGGGGCCACACCCAGCAGTTCTCTGAGTTAGTTCTGGCTCCTGTGCTCAGGGGACATATGGTATGTGTGGGATCTAACCCACCCCTCTGTACTATCTGTTTTTTGAATTGAACTTGAGTTTTTTTATTTTTGAGCCACACCCCACAATGCCCTGCACTGAAGAATCTCTTCTGGTGTTGCTCAGGGCTACCATTTGGGACCCCTGGCAGTAAGGCTCGAGCTCCGCTTACATGGCTGTACTCACTGTACTTTCTCCAGCTCCTGAGTATAATTGAAAATTGGGTGTGTAACATTTATTTTGGGAATACTTGGTGCCTAAAAGGTATAACTAAGGTTTACCTATGTCACTGAAAGTACAGGCTTTTCTAGTTTTGGAGGGGGTTTTTGGTTTGTCTTTTGCTGTGGGGTCACCTGGCTGTGCTAAAGAATACTTCTAGTGCGCTCACGGCACCCTACGAGATGCCAGGACTTGAACCAGGGTTAGCCGTCTGCCGGCCAAATCCTACCTGCTGTACTAGCACACTGGTTGGTGAAGGAGGGAGATAACTTTTGTACCTGAATTAATAGTGCCCAGAATTTATGCTAAGTTCTACCTCCACATCCATATTGTCTGTATTATTACAGCTGGTGTGTTTTCCAGGAGGAGCTACAATTTATAATTTAAAGTTGCTTCTTTTGCTGCCAGCTTATGGCTTTTCACAACAAAAAGGGCAAACCTTAGGGACTCATCGCTTTACCCCTCTATCGTGCAAAAGAAAATCATAGTCTTTGAGTTTTATGTAGTTTCCATTTGTTAAAATAGTTTGATTTACCACTGCCATTTAATTTTTAGCATAAGGACTGTTGTTTATCTGTGTGACTATATTCAGGTTAGAAATGCTTTTGAGTATTTCATGGATATAAGGACCTTTGTGACCTTCTTGGATAAAACTTAGAAATATTTCATGTCGAACTGAGAACAAATTTATTGGTGTGTCAACAGGCCATCCTAGGCAACACTCAATGTGCTTTGAAGTATCCAGAGGGAAGCTTATTTTAAAATAACCCACTTATCTTTTGAAGGCAAAAGAACGTGCCAATGGAATGGAACTTGATGGACGTAGGATTAGAGTTGATTTCTCTATAACAAAAAGACCACATACACCAACCCCAGGGATTTACATGGGAAGACCTACCTAGTAAGTTTATTTTGATGTGATGACTTGCTCACTTTACCCATAAATAACATTGTGGGTGGGAAAACTTTGGCATTTCTTTCTTTCTGAGATTAAAGGATGTTTACTGGGTGCTCAGTAGATAGTATCTGAATGAAAAGCTGGCAAAATACTTATAAGCGCCTCTAAAATAGTTCATGCTGTTGAATAGCTAAAGATTTCCCTATTCTTAGGAATATATTTGCCTTAAGGTTTTTTTTGTTGTTTGGGGGGACCACACAAGGTGATGCTCACTCTGACTGATGCTAGAGCCATCAGTCCCATGGAATGCTGGAGATTGAACCTGGTCGGCTGCATGTAAGGCAAATGCCTATATATGCTGTAGCCCCGTAACCAGTTTTTAGAAAGAGTTACCAGGAAAAAAGGAACAGAAAATAAATATCAGTATTAAATATCATTATAAATTTTGTATTTTTATGAAATATTGAATCTAATGTTAACAACTAATGAGAATTATCAGAAAAGCCTTGCATATAAAATGATTAAGTTGATAGAAACTACTGTCACTGTTCTCCAGTTCATCAGTTTGCTCCAGCAGGGCCAGTAACTTATCCATTATGACATTTGTTACTGTGGCATATCGAATACATCACAGGTAGTTTTCGGGGCTCTCCAAGGGCAGGGGGGTGAAGGAATCAAGCCTGTGTCGGCTGGGTTGGCTGCATACAAGGCAAGTGCCCTACCCACTGTGCTATCGCTCCAGCCCAGTTAAACTACATACCCCCCTTTTTGCTTATTAGTTTGGTGGGTTTGGTTTTTTTGTTTTCATTTTGTTTTTTGGGGGGTCCATCCCCAGCAATGCTCGGGGGTTTCTCTTGTCTCTGCTCAGAATTACCTCTTGATGATGCTTGGAGGACAGTATGGGATTTAACTTGCATGCAAGGCGAACCCTGTACCCACTATACTATTGCTTGAGCCCCTCTCCCTTTTTGTTTAAAAGAAGCTACAGAAGCTGAGACTGTTGTCAGTTTAGTTCTATGGGTACATCATCCCAAAACAAAAATTAGATGTGCTAGGTTTTTAATAGACCAGAATAGAATACTGTGGCAACCACCTGATAATTTATGAGATATTTTTAAATTACTCGTAGTGGCAGCTCACGCCGTCGAGATTACTATGACAGAGGATATGATCGAGGTTATGATGATCGGGACTATTATAGCAGGTCATACAGGTAAGGCTTCCATAGTATAAGACACAAGTTGCGATAAACTTAAATGAAGCACTGTCTTATACAGCACAGTACTGTTTCTAAATTTTATCCTTTCACTCTTGAGAAATTTAGAGTGACTGTTGGTTTCTTTTTAAGGTTATCTTAAACTTAACTACAAATCCTCAAGTGTGAACCACTGATTTCAAGTGGTAGAGTAGAAACAAAAGCATATGCCAGTTTTTTTCCTTTGCCTTAATAAAGGCAGGGGGGGCGGCTGCACACTGGTGGGATATGGACTCCTGACTTGGTGCTCAGGGTCCCGTGCAATACTGATTATCGAATTCAGGTTGGGTCTCTCCCACTCAATTTGTTGAACTATGTCATTCTGTTTTTAAAAGCTAATTCTAACGGTCGGTTTTGAAAGTCATTACTGTTCAAGGCAAGATTTCCAGTTCTTTTAGTATGATGCATTACAGGGCCGGGGGGGGGGGTTGATTCTTGAATGAGTCCAATTAAAAAATTTTGAAGGACATTAATTAGAACAATGGTAAGCGGGTCTTTGTGGGTAGCACTGTAGCACTGTCCCCGTTGTTCATCGAGCAGGCACCAGTAATGTCTCCATTGTGAGACTTGTTACTGTTTTTGGCATATCTAATAACGCCACGGGTAACTTGCCAGGCTCTGCTGTGCCTTTGTGGGTATTTTTCCTAATATAAAAGGGAAGATCCTGGGAGTTTGGTAGGGAAATGTCCATTCTTGGAAGTGGGGTTATGTGGGGGTGTTAAGTGTAAATTATCCACTCACGGTTCAGTTTATTTAGAAATGCTGTTTTACCACCAGAGATAGCTCTAGCCTGTTTAGTAGATTACTATCTAACTTGAACTACCTTTAGGACTGTTTTTTACTGCATGAATTTGTGCCAGCCATGCTTAATTAAATGGGATTCTTTTCTGCTTTTACAGAGGTGGAGGAGGAGGAGGAGGAGGATGGAGAGCTGCTCAAGACAGGGATCAGATTTACAGGTATGCCAGGAGGTGATGTACAGTAAAACCATTAGTCTGATACTGGATAATGTTACCTATTCTCTGTATCTTACCTAATAAGACGAGATGGTGATGAATTTTTTTTAGTTATTCGCAGTAACTAATTACACTCAGTATTTCAACACCAATCCCACACCATTAACACCTTCCCTCCACCATTATTTCAAATTTTCTCACCAACACTCAAGCCTTCCCCCAGGCAGATGCGAAATTATTATTTTGTGCTGCTTGTTATGAATAGTATATAGGTAGGCTGTCCAAAACTTTTAAATAATTGGGGTCCAGAGAATTCTCTGTGGCATGTTGCTGTCTTTCAGATTCATTTGTGCCTGGTTCACAAAGGCTGGGTGGGAGACAGCCAGGACACAGGATGGTTGGGTAGATGAGGGAGGGGTCGGCCCATCCCTGCCTCCCAGTGACTTTGGAGCTTTCAATCACTGCTCCCCAATACCTGGGTTTTTCTTCTAGAGGTTTCTGACCGCTGGGGTTCATTTGGAGTAGGAGGAGAAAATGCCTACTCCAGAAGGTGATGAATTTTAAGGTCTTGGATAAGAAACAACATTGTCAGTTTTTGTTCCTGATAGCAATTTAGTTTTATCATATAAGTGCTTCATTCTAGTACTAAAGTAGACCCTAAAGTCTAAAAAAAAACTAGTTTACACGATCATTTCAGGGCTGTCTCGGAGACTGCCGAAATAATAGAGGGCATAATCATCCTTTAGTCTTAATTGTGATTTATGGAGAATTAGAGTATCTTGATGTTTGTTTACAGAAGACGGTCGCCTTCTCCTTACTACAGTCGGGGAGGGTACAGATCACGTTCCAGATCTCGATCATACTCACCTCGTAAGTGTTTTATTTTCATGATGCTTTGTATATTGTAATAAAAGACTTGGCCTGACTTACCAAACCACAACAGAGTATAGATTTAGGGAACAGCAAGCTAAATGCTCAGGATTTACTCCTGGCTTTGCCCTCCAGAAATTCTATGGGGTGTTCGGTCAAACCCAGGTTACCTGCATGCAAGGCAAGCATCCTACTTACTGGACTCTTGCTCTTTTTAAAATTATTTTTATTTTTTTATTTTTGTGTAGTCACACCTGGCTTTGCACTCAGGAAATATTCCTGGCGGTGCTCAGGTTACCATGTGGGATGATGGGAATCGAACCCGAGTCGGCCACGTGCGAGGCAAAAGCCCCTCTTGTTCTCCAATATTGTGTGTAGAAAACATGATCTTAATCCCATGTGCGGAATCTTATGTGTAGGATACCCTTGGTGATAAGTTTAATAGCACAGCGGGTAGGGCGTTCGCCTTACAAGCGGCCAACATGGCCGACCCGAGTTCGATTCCTCTGCCCCTCTCGGAGAGCCTGGCAAGCTACCGAGAGTATTCGATATGCCAAACACAGTAACAACAAAGTCTCCAATGGAGACGTTACTGGGCCTGCTCGAGCAAATCGACGATCAACGGGAGGGCCTTTACCTTTACCTTTACCCTTGGTGATTGGGTTTTTCTTTCCCTTTGTGTGTTGGGGCTATGACTTGGCCATACCTGGTGGTGTTATTCCTAGCTCTCTTCAGGAGTGACCCCTGCCAGTGCATGGGATGATTGCCAGGAATTGAGCAATATTCAGAGGCATACAGGGAAAGGACTTCACCTCTATCATTGCCCCCTCCCTCCACCAGCATTTGTTACTTATTAGGAAATTTTTGGTACTTGAGAATAGGAATGACTTCAAAATTTCAGCTTGCAGCTATTTCTCTTAAGTATTTCTCAGTATTGAAGCATATTCAATCTTTTCTTTTCAGGTCGCTATTAAAGCATGAAGTTGAAGACTTTCTGAAACCTGCCCTAGAGCTGGGATATTGTTTGTGGACAATATTTTTTATTGTCTCCTGTTTAAAAAGTGAACAGTGCCTAGTGAAGTTAGGTGACTTTTACACCTTTTATGATGACTACTTTTGGTGGAGTTGAAATGCTGTTTTCATTCTGCATTTGTGTAGTTTGGTGCTTTGTTCAAAGTTAAGTGTTTTCAGAAAAGTATGTTTTGCATGTATTTTTTTACAGTCTAAATTTTGACTGCTGAGAAGTTTCTATTGTACAAAACTTCATTTAAAAGGTTTTTCTACTGAATCCAGGGTATTCTGAAGATCGAAGCCTGTGTGTAAAATGCTACCAAATGGCAAAAAGCAACAATAAAGTTTGATTTTTACTTTTCTTTCTAACATATCTATGCTTAGCAGAAATGTTCAGATTAGGTAGTAAATTTCAGGATAAACAAAGATGCCAGTTTTCCCAGTCAATGAGACAATACCATACTTTTAATATACCTGCAACTAAGTGTTAACAATTATGCTCTGTAACTCTGTACTGCTAGTATTAGAACTAATGATCTTGCAATACAGCAAACGCTTTATGCTTATATCAATGTGGATTTGTCAGCCTTTGTGTAATCTGTATTATAGCAGGGAGTAAGAAGAGTTACACAATGTCTGCCTTAAAAGGCTATTTCTTGAAGCTGTTAAGGGGGTAATGGTATTTCAACTAGTTATCAGCAAAGACAATACATTCCACCACAAATGTACTCTTGTTCTAGCTTTTAGATATTATGAACACAAAAAAAGGGTGCTTCAGAGTTTGAGAAAGAGAAGGGAACACTATACTTGTGTTGTGGATGAACTGAAGACTTTGCCTGTTCATTTTTTAAATATTATTTTCAAGTCCTTTGCTTATCAAAGGAGGCCCAGTTTACTCAAATGTTTTGAGAACTGTGTTGAAATAAATGCAAATGAAAAGAGAAAAAAAGGCTGGTACAACTCCATTTACAAAGCTTTTTGGTCGGTTTTTTTAATCTTGTTTGTAACTCTTTCATCAATTTAGCCCTGATGCAGTATCTCTAGGTTACAATGTATACTTTTTGTTATTTAATAATTTATAATCCTGGAAATAAAATGAAGAATGAGTTAGGTCTTAATCATCTCCACTTCGGGAATGATTTGTCTTAAAAATAGTAACCAGTCTTAATACTGAGTATACTTGAGACTCAGTTTATGGTACTACTTAGGTTAATTTTACAGCAGATCTTTGATAATTTTCATTGGGTAATTGAATTGTGCTTGCTTGCTGACTTTTGTGGTACCTAATGACCTTACAAGGTACTCTACCAAAATCTTGTTTATTTGTAGTAATCAATTTACCTTTAAATTTGTTGAAAGTAACCATCTCTGAACCTAGCTGATCCACAGCTGACAGTGTCTGCATTTGTGATACTATTCTGCTTTGAATTCTGGGTGGCCATGTGATTGCCATATATTGATAATGATTCATTTTTGTAGGCTTTAAATATGCTCAAACATCAAACTTACTGGCTAGAGGGTACTAAAACATTGGTATTCATTGATAATCTTAGCCTCGCAAGTTTGTGTTTCCAGAAAGCATCTGAACTAATCCGGTTGTGCTTGATTATTTCATATCCATTATTGGCAGGTTTGGGTTGGGGTTGTGGGGTACTGGGTTTTGGACTGGGATCTCTGTCTTTGTTATGCAATAGAAGTTGATCTCAGTTTTCCAAATCAAGTTTTTGGTTTGGTTGGATTATATTTGATAAGATTCCCCCCCCCCCGTCTGGTTTTATAGTGATCATATTAATAGAGCAGTTTTCAAAGCATAAGCCAGCACCTATGCTCTCAGTGGAAATTGGGTATCTAGACCCATTGCCTAGCCTAAGATTGACCTGTTGCATTGAATTGAGGTGAGAAATCTATCCCTTTGACCCAGGACTGTAGGTTTTTGAAGCAAGCTTGTGTCATTCATACTTGTACACAGTTAGCTTGCAGTTTATGGATAGTCTGTTAATCCTGCAATAAAGTTTCCATTTTCAAAGCTAGTATCTAATGAACTTTCTGATTGGAGCTCATTCTGGGATATAATGTATGTTCCAGAAAGGGAAACCTTGAAGAAAATTTGGAAATTGTCCCATTGAGAAAGCCATTACAACTCATAACACTAAAGGGCAATGAAGAGCTGCCTAACTATATTACTATATAGTAATTGAATTCAATTCTAAATTACTATAGTAATAATGGAATTAGGGCATATATTTGGTCTTTTATAGAAAGATAGGATCAGAGTATTAGTCATGGGTCTGAGACTTGAGCAGAGGGGCTCAAGACAATACTTGGAATGGTGAGGGCAGTTTGAACATTCTTGGCCTTACCTGGCAGTTTGTTTACATGCTGGGTTTACAGCCATGTTTGTTTTTGTTTTGTGTTTTTCCCCCCCAGGCCACATTCAGCTGCACCCCTAGTGGTGCTAGGGGTACCATGGGCACTGGATGCTGGGGGCCAAACCTGGGTTTGCTGCATGGTGGCAAACACCCTGTTTTTCTGATTTAGTGTGATGTTACAAAGTTCATGAAGGAGTTGGTTGCAGGCATACAAAGTTTCAACACCAGCCCATTCACTCCCCTACTTACCTCTAGGAGTCCCTGCTTCCCATCCACCAGTCTGTTACTATGAGATAAAAGTGATTTCTAATCCATAAAATAGTATATCTAAATAGTTTGAAAGCCATCCAGGCAAATGGAGACTAGTCACTTAACAAAATTTAATAGCCACATCTGATTATCCACAGTCTATGGAACACTGTTTTACCCCGTGACTATAACTTCAAATTTACATCAGTCTTTCCTGGAACACTGTTGCTTCAGCGTCCAACTAAACGTGCTAATATCAGCGAGGCTCTCTGCAGCACTGTGGGGTCAGGCCACTAAGCCTGGGGTTGATAAATTGTCTTACCACAGGTGCATGGTGCCTTGTCTCCTTGGAAGAGTGAGCACACATGCACAAATGAAAACACTTGGTTGGTAGAACGTTAAACCAAGTTACACCAGAGCATTTGAAGTTCTACAGTGGAAAAGGCAAGTCACATGAGGAAAACGGGAAAGAAAAAACTAAGGAGATGGCAAAAAACAATAGTCCAACCCCACACACCAAGTTTTCCATGCTGCTCCTTGATGGCACTTTTTCCAGCTTCCCAAACATTTGGAACCCTTTGGGATACTTAATCTAATATTGAATGAGTCATTCTGGAAGAGCCCTTCTGACACAACAAATGCCAAGAGATTCTAAACATAAACCATGTTGCTTATACTTAAACCATATACTTGTAGCCACAAACCATTTCAATCAGATGTGTCCAAAATTAAGGTGTGACAACAGTGAATTTGTTGGGGGAAAGTTACTGGCTATTCGGGCAGGGAGGGTCAGGTTATTTCTTTGTTTAGATTTAGTGGCTGGAGTTCTTGTCAGTGACCACTTAAGAGATTAAACTGCTTTCTTGTGTTTAACCAAGCTGGCATTGTTTTTGTAATGCCTCCAATCTCATTTCCACTTAGCAGTGAAAGTCTTAAGGGTGAAATAACATCATTTATATTTAAAAGCTTTAATCACCATCTCAGGATAAAGGTCAACTCCTATTTTAGGATAAAGTTCCTTGTTGGACTTTTATCATCCTAGCCTCTTCTTCTCAGACCCACCAATTAGATTTCTCTTACTTTCAATATTGCAATTTTGTATTATTTAGGGTAAAAAGGTAAAGGTAAAGGCCCTCCCGTTGATCGTCGATTTGCTCGAGCGGGCCCAGTAACGTCTCCATTGGAGACTTTGTTGTTACTGTGTCTGGCATATCGAATACTCTCGGTAGCTTGCCGGGCTCTCCGAGAGGGGCGGAGGAATCGAACTCGGGTCGGCCATGTTGGCCGCTTGTAAGGCGAACGCCCTACCCGCTGTGCTATCGCTCCAGCATTATTTAGGGTAGTTTCTTAAATAATAGCTTTAGATACATTGAGTAGACGTTTAAGCCCCTTCAGTAAGGGGAAACGGAAGAGGCAAGATAACTCCCTGAAAGTAAAAACACCTCTTGTTGAAGTTCCTTTGAGAAGTTTGTGTGACTGGTCTACACCCAGCAGTAATGAGGTCTTACTGATGAGTGTACTTGGGGAGTAGTGCTGACTGAAGTGCTCAGGGGGCCATATACAGTGCCAGGGTTTGAACCCAGGTTGTGTGCAAGGCAAGCACCTCATCCACTGTACTTCCCTTAAGACCCCTGGAGGATGTTTGCACGGCGATAAGGAGCTTGGAAACAACCGTTGTATCTTAATGAGTAAAAAGCTGAGCAAGCTAAATTGGAGAGACAGCTACAGAGAAAACAGCTTAAAGCTCGAATTTAACTATAATTGGTGAGCTGCTCAAAGCCCACTGTTAAATACAGAAAAGAAAAGGAACCGACTAGGGAGCAATCGAAATTGGAGATAAATTTGCTTGTCATACAACAGGAAAAAGGAACCACACCAGAGTATCCTATAGATTTAATTTATTCCATAAATTAAACCCTTCCTGCTGGGGTTAAAAGTATTTGTTTCAACTCACTTTTTACCCTTCCTGTCCCAAACAAGGAGTGGAGGTAGGGGAGACTAGAGCACATAAGTCTGGGCACATAGGCACAGACATACTGAAATAACAGTAGGACAACAGACTTAAGCCAGTGTTGGTATGTTAAAAGAATTGGTCTAGACAAAGCAGAGCTGGAGACTTAAAACAGTTTTCCTTGTGTGTAACTGACCCCATTTCCATACCTGTCACAAAGTACTATGAGAGCTGAAAAAAGTATTGTCAGGGCCCAGTGATAGTACAGTGAGTAGTACAGCCAACCCATGTTCGATCCCGTGGCACCAGAGACAGCCGTAAACCCTGAAAACGTTTACAAATTGAGTTCCAAAACACCTAATAAAGCTTAAGAAAAAGAAGGGTGGGGGAGTTGAAACAATGATTCCCCCAAGTTTATGTTAAGGTTGCTGCACACTAGCTGTTTTCTTAGGCGAACCTGCCCTCTAATACGATGTTAACCAAGTTCAAGCTTTGGTGGGTAAATGAAGGACACCCCTTACACATGATAATAGTAAAAGAAACCCTGATTACCCAAAAAGTAGCGTTCCCAGTCAATCAGAATGTGGTTATATAAGCACAAACCAGTTCATTAAAGTAGACAGGAGATAGTGAGCTAAAGACAGCTGGAGAAGTAGCTAAATTTGAAGCCAACTTCAGAGCAGGACAAGGGATTAAGGTGAAGCATAATGATAAAACAGTTGTTGAAGATGAAATGTTTAATAGCCAAGTTAGTCTTAAAATACATGAGTAAAACAGTGAATTAAATGTCTGT